TCGTTTGCCTCGTCGAGATGAAGAGGGTCTTGACAGCTTCGCTGCTTTGATCGCGGGGTACTCCATCACGGAGCAGGATATCAAGGCTGAATGGCGTTGGATCTGCCGCGGCCTTGGTCGTCAAGAGCAAGGTAACATCCTCCTCAGCTCGCCCGAGATCATGGTTGCCTTTACCCAGCATGCCACCGCCCTTCCGGAATTGACAGCAAAAGTGCCTATCATCCCGAACCGCACAGTGAAGAACCGTCTTGCCTACGCCTATCAGCCCGCTGCGGTCATGGTGCCAACAAAGATCGAGCATGTTCAAGAGTGCGTTCGGTGGGCTGTCAAGCATGGATTCGGTCTGACTGTGTTGGGAGGCGGGCACAGCGATCACTGTCTCGTCCCCAACGTGGTGGCCATTGATATGGCTTGTTTTAACAAAGTATCAGTCAGGATCTCTGAAGAACTGGTTGTTGCGGAGGCTGGCTGCAAGACGGGCGATATCATCCGCCAGAGCTTGAAGACAATTACCAGCAAGGCGGAAGGAGGCCTAACCGTACCGCTTGGAGCTCGCCCGAGTGTGGGAGCAGGACTTTGGCTGCAGGGTGGAATTGGACATTTGTCTCGGCTTCACGGACTGGCATGTGATGCCATTGTGGGTGCTGTGGTAGTCGGTGTGGACACTGGTCGAGTTCTTTGTATTGGTTCCGTCCCCAAGGAATTTCAACCAGCTGGTTCTGTGCGTCCGGAAAACGAAGCTGATCTGCTGTGGGGTATAAAGGGGGCTGGAACAAACTTTGGAATTCTTGTCAGCGTCACCTTCAAAGCCTTCGCTGCCGAGAAGCAGACAGTTCGTGACTGGGTCATTCCAGATGCTCAGCTTGGGCTCAAAAAGGTCCATGACCTGGTGTCTGGGGAGTTACCCAGGAACCTCGCAGTCGACGCATTTCTCTATCCAGAGAAAGACCGGCTGAGCCTCGGGGTGACGATGTTTGAGTCCATGGGGACCGAGGCGAGTAACTCCTACAATGACTGCAGCCCCTATCCGGGAACTGGGTTTGGAGATCCGGTCGATGGTGCTCCAGCTATTAGCGATGCGAGCACCCTTGTTCTCAAGGCTCTCGGTCCTGAGAGCAAGTTAAAAGTCATGGATAGCGTGGATCTGTTCGAAGCCGACATGTACATGTCCGGCATGCATGGTGGACACGGCGGCTCCAAGACGTCCGCCTTCAAGCGTTGCGTTTTTCTTAAGCAGCTCAACGAAGTGTCAGAGTCCTTAATGACGGCGCTCAACAACCGCCCAACCCCTCTCTGCTATCTTCATCTCCTTCACGGAGGAGGGGCCGTGCAAGATGTACCGTCTCGAGCCACCGCGTTTGGTGCACGGGACTGGGAGTTTGCCTGTGTAATCACAGGGGTCTGGCCTAGGCATCAAGATGGAACCCACGTCTCTCGATCTGCAATCGAGTGGGTGTACAAAACTGTCGAGGCCCTGCTTCAACACAACAGCTCTGCCCGTGGCGGCATCTACGGCGCTGATCTCGGCCCGGATCCTAGAGATGCCCTCCTCGCGGCCAGAGCTTTTGGCCAAAACCTCACGAGGCTGGTGCGTCTCAAGCTGACTATGGATCCGCACAATGTGCTGCGCTATACCTGCCCACTCCCAAAGGCGTCGATGGAACCAACTCTCATTATTTTGGTCACCGGAGAGAGCGGCGCTGGTAAAGACTATGCCGCCAACCTGTGGGCCTCGCTGTTCCAACAGCATAAAACCCATCCCCAAACAGCTCGGCAGGTCAGCATCAGCGAGGAAACCAAGCGCGAGTACGCCAAAGCCTATAAATCAGATATCTTCAAGCTCCTTCACGACCGGAATTACAAAGAGAACCACCGCGGACGGTTGACATCATTCTTCCATAATCAACTTGAGCAAGATCCAAAGCTGCTGGAGAAGCATTTTGTCAGTGCAGTCCTCCGCGGTTGCCCAGCCGATGTCGTTCTGATTACCGGAATGCGGGATGAATATCCTGTGGCAAGCTTTTGCCATCTTGTTCCAAACAGCCGGGTCATCGAAGTCCGAGTCACAGCCAGCAGAAAGACCCGCCTGGCCCGTGGTGCCACCGACTGGGAGCCTGACAACTCGAACTCGTCCTCGTCCTCTCCCCCAACCTTTACGTTTGCCAATGATAAACAAGATAATACGCAGCAATTCGAGGAATTCTTCACAAAATCTCTCTTCCCCCTCGTTTCCCCAGAGCTCACCGAGCTCTCCACGCTCATCCGCGCCGTCCCCTCCTTTCCCCATCACGGCATTACGTTCCAGCACGTCCTCGGCATCGCTCAACACCCCGGCGGCCTCAAACTCGCCACTTCTCTCCTCGCTTCCCTGTACCACATACCCTGGGACCAGATCTCTCACGTCGTGGCAGCCGAAGCGGGCGGCTTCATCTTCGCTTCTCCCCTCGCTTATTCTCTTGACAAGTCCTTGGCCGTCATCCGCAAATCCTGCGGCAACAACCCCAAGCTTCCTCCCCCTCTCGTCTCCGTCACTAGAGACAGCGGCAAGGAGGGAAAGTCCCACATCAGTGGCTGCTTGGATTCGGGAGACGGGAGCACAGAAGAAGAGAGCCTCGAGATGGACAGAGATGTCATTCCCAAGGATGCAAAGGTCGTGATAGTGGATGACGTCCTCGCCACGGGACGGACGTTGTGTTCTGTCTTGGAGTTATTGGTTGCAAAAGTGGGAGTGAAGGCTGAGAACGTGAGCGTGCTGGTTGTTGCTGAGTTTCCGGTGCATAGGGGGAGGGAGATGCTGAGGAACAAGGGTTTTGGAAGGGTTGGCGTTGGAAGTTTGGTTGTTTTTGGTGGTGTTTAAGTATCTGAATGTTGCTGATGGGGCTCAGGGGTCTGTGGGAATTGGCCTGGAAGTCCCGGATGGGTTTAAACAAGTTTACTTTGTGGTTGCCGTAGCTTCAACTTTTCGAAGTTGATAATGAGCGGCCCGTCGTCTTCCGCCGATCGAAGTTCCCCCTGCGTGGCTGCTCGGAAGGCGCGATCGAGCCCTGAGGAGCGTTCACCGGCAGTTGTGCCTTCACAAACCTTCTCGAGTCTCGAAACAGAATTCTAGGCCCAGGCAAATTTTTTTTTTTAAAAAAAAATCGATTTCTCTTTCCACTCTTTCCAACATCTTATCGTATAGCTTCTCCACCAACCGTTATGGTCATGTCAACCCCCTCTCATCATTCCTGACTCCTCCTTGTCATGTGCTTTGCATTCGCCTTGGCATCACTCTCCTCTTCTGACGAACAGTCCTCCCAGGCTAACTTGGATCCCCCCGCCAATCTGAGGGGCCGCACGGGTCTTTGGTCTCTTCCAACAGAGATCAGGCGCATGATATGGGCCGAATTTGGAAAGACCGCCGATTTCCGAAACTTGCTCCTGGTATGTGGTGTAATCTATGGTCCTTTCTTTTTTCTCCCGATTTTACCATTCGAGTTTTTTTTTTTTTTTGACACCACCCCCAGGTAGATAAACAAACAAACGCCGAAGTGCTTTCCCAAATATTTCCGGTTTCTGGTGTGAAATTTTCGGACATACCCTTCGGTTCACGTTCCTTCTTCGGCGTCGAGGAAGTGACAGTCGTGGTTGATGGGCGGTGTTCTGGCAGCTATTGGCTTAAAATCGAAGTCACTTATTTCAAAGGAGCTTCGAGTTTCCACTTTATCATCAGCGACGTAGATTCCCCCTCGGCCAGATTCCTTTCTCTCTTCGCGCCTTCCAAGATTGTCATCGAGTTCCGGGCTCCCAAGGGCGGCCACCACCTCGCATCTCTCCTCACCATGCGCGCCAAGCTGTATGATGCCCTTTTCGTCGTGGAACGTCTGTTGTTCACTGGCCCGGGACCAACTGGGTGGTTTCCCTCCACCGAAATTCGGTTCTGGGAAGACGAGCGGCGTCGGTGCAAAAGCTTTTGGATGAACCGCGCACGGGTTGTTCCCCGAACGAATGCTTCCTGCCCCTCCAAAGCCATGGAGAAGGAGGAGAAGAAGCGTCGTCGGATCAGGCCTGTGCTTTTCTTTTACGAGGTTTTGCTTTTCCCTTCGATAACATGCAATGCATACTGGAGCAACGCCGAGGTGCTCTTTTCCTGTTGGCCGAATCGCAAACAGACCTCATTCGCGACATGGTTTACCGGACAGCTTGTGCCAAACGGCCAGAACCAAAGAATTACCAAGCGCCACGGAACTCGAAACCTGGTGTTGACCTTATGGATTGTGATGGATAGAATCTTTCGGCACATGACGAACCTTGGCCTAGGCAGTTGGTTGAAGGTCCCAGGCCATGCCGAGAGGCAAGAAGAGGCCATCAGACAAGCACACTTGTTCAACAACGAGTGGAATAGGTGGGAGGGTCCGCTTCACAAATTTATGTCCCTGACTAAAAAATTTTATGATCAACTTGAGAGCTTCTTGCACTCAACCAACGGCAGCAACGAAGCAGCTCAGCTTCGGGCGTGCATCCGCCGAGCTCAGGCCTTGGGGCCGAACAACGCCTTTTCAATGAACCGGCCGAATATAATGAATTTAACCTTAGTACGCAATGACAACAACAGTGCCAGGTATGCCATCTCGATTTATGCATCATGGGCAGTGGGTAGTAAATGACAATGAATAATTCAATGAGGAGTGGAAGGGGAAACCAAATACCATCAAGAAGTTTTTGGGCAGTATATAGATAGATACCCAGCGCATCAACCAAACTTGCAGCGCTCGCAACAATTCAGTTTCAGTTCAGTTCAATTCAATTCAATTTCGAGCGTACGATTTGTCAAGGTCTTGGAAATCGATTCAATCTTACATTTTCGAAGTGAGTTGAATTGTTGACAATGGATACCTCTGGGTCTGACTTGAAAACTTCAAAGTCAACATCTCAAGCTCAAAAAGAAAAGAAAAAAAAAAAAAAAAAAGGTAGAGAGAACCCGACCCCGTCATTCTTCCTTTTCCTCCTCTGGGAGGTTCGGGGCCACCCGGGGATTGAACCCGGGACCTCTCGCAGCAACGAACAGCGTTGTTGTTTGTTCAGGGTGAGCCCTAAGCGAGAATCATACCACTAGACCAGCGGCCCTCTGTGAATTTGTTGGGGGTTTGAGAAAGGAATAGTGGCTTACGACTGAGTTGAGATGAGGGAATTTGTGAGAGGCTGATGCCGTTGTTTGCCGTTTCTGGAAACGTGAAGCAAGGTTGTGCTTGTCTAGAAATGGGGCGGTTGGCGGCGTGACTCTTCGACGAGATGAAGAGGGCCTAGCATGGGTTGCGAGTGACGTTGGAAAGTTTCAAGCGATAAAAAAGCTGCCTCTCGCTCCGGGAGTTCCTCTGCCGGGATGATGCTCTTCAATGCAGCCACAAACTCCACCGTACTCCCACACAAGATGACAATTTCTGCATGGGAAAACCACAATCCATCTGTTTGTTTCCAGCGTCAGTGGTTTAGTGGTAAAATCCATCGTTGCCATCGATGGGCCCCGCGTTCGATTCGCGGCTGACGCATTTTTGCCCCTGAGTGCAAAACGGTAGATGCTGGCTTTTTCTGATCGCTCAGGGATTCGGCGAAGAGTTTATTGAAAGCTTGTTCCAAGACTTCCAATTACCAAGTGACAAGACGCTGAGCCTCATGAACAGTCGTTTACTTTTTATCCGGCGGTGTTGCTGTAGCCTTCGTCCCCAAGGCCGAACTGTGTTTGTGAGCTAATATGAGGTCAGAGTAAACATGTCGGTGCTCTATAGTAAGGGCAAAACCATTGTGCGAGATGTTTCCAAAATGAATGAAATCATGCTTTGATCATTCAATTGCTGATTGAAGCGCCATTTAGGGCCCAGTGACGTGTCGCGAGCCTTCCTTCCCAAATGGAGATCTCCGTCCCGGCGCATTCATCGTGAGGAAGGAGTCAAGATGCTCCTACAGCATGTGCCACTCTGATCTTGATCATCACAGTAGGTATTTGATATGCAGATCAGCTCAATGTTGGTTGCATTAGAGGAGGAAAGCGAGTGCAGCCTGCCAAGGTATGTAGCCAAAGAGGCCTTGACTGGTGAGGCCCCAGGGAGAGGTGGCCTTGCCGCTCTGGTTGTCGATGCAAATGTTGTCAAGTTGATTAGGAGATGCCGAAGCACTATGATAGGAGGTGAAGAACCAGCGTCAGTTGGAAGCTTTCACTTCCATCCTTCATCTGACTACTTAATCCTGCTGACGTGCAGGACGCACTGCAGCAGAGTTTGCGCGCAACCATCCAAACATGTCAGAAAATATGAGTAAGAAAATAGGCGACGTAATTTCTCGGCAGTTCTCGAAAGCAGTGGTCTCTTTCTCTCGCCAGATCGCCAAACACCCCCGATTCCGGCGTCCCGGAACCAGCTTACAAGAGGGCCCACTCTGTGAATTTCTTCCCGGTTTCCGACTCATCTGGACTACTTCCAAAACCCCACAACAAACAGTGACACCGAATCCTCTTCAAGATCAAAATCACCCTTCGAAATGGCCGAGAACGAAGTGTTTCAGTATTCCCTCATCTCTGCGCTGATGGATGGCGTTGCCGCCCATGGAACCCCCATCTCGCGCGTCCTCGAACATGGCGACCACGGTCTTGGCACGTTCCGCAACATGGTCGGGGAGATGATCGTGCTCGACGGTGACGTCTACCAAATGAAAGCTGACGGTTCGGTGGTGCACATCTCGGACCCCACAACGACCGTCACACCGTTCGCGACCGTTACTCGATTCCGACCAATGGTGACCAAGAAAACTGCCATCTCTGGCAAAGCAGACCTGCAGCAAATCCTCACATCGGTTTTTCCTACGGCTAAAAACCACTTCCTAGCCATTCGACTAGACGGCGACTTCAAGAGCATCGAGTTCCGGACGGCGGGCGGGCAGTGTTTCCCTCGTGAGGGGATGGTGGATGTGTGCAGTCGGCAGTCGACGTATACATTTTCGGGAGAGAAGGGATCAGTGTTTGGTTTTCGGTGTCCAGAGTACGCGATGGGGATTAATGTTGCCGGCGATCATTTGCACTTTATCAGTGAGGATAGGCAGCGTGGCGGGCATATTTTGGGGTTTGAGACGGATGGTGAGATCGAGTTATCGGTGTCACAAATGTCCAACTTTCACATGGAATTGCCGACCGATGATGAAGAGTTTAATGAGGCGGCGTTGGTGAAAGATGAAAAGGGGATCACAGATGTTGAAGGATAAATCACAAAGTATGTTGCGAATAGAAGCTTGATGAGACGAAAATCTTGTGTCACCGAGTTGCTCAGATCAGTGCTTGAATTTTAGTGATTTGTGCCCGCTATAATTAGTCCGAAAACAAGGGCCGCCACAGCGCGATTGAATGTGGTCTGTGCGCCGCGTCGATCTGAAAATGAAATGTCCCAGCCAGGAAAATGCACCTGCCCATCGAGAAACGAAACAAAGATAGGGGTTTGACCATTAAAAGAGTGCTCAGCACGCCAATTTCAGCGTGGGTGACGCGTCTTGGAGGCTTCTGACCCCACTCCACTACCCGGGGCATTGGTTGACCTCGCACTTGACATTCTCAATTCTCCATGGCAGCCTGGCAGCCTGGCAGTCAGGCAACCCGTCATCCACAGGATCCGAGGATCCGGCATCGGAAAACGCCGCGTTTCTGTCACTACCTACCTCCTACCCCAATGACTCTATCACGGCCCTGAAACAACAAACGCCACGATATGAAGTCTGGAACGGTTTTGTGGAGTGGAGCCACCTTCTGGGTGGCTTGCATGGCGACAACGGCATCAGCGACTTCGGTCGACGACCGTCTCAAGCTTGAACCAAGCAAAGAGGCCGCGCAAGAGAATGCCTTCCAAATCTTCAACTCCATCCATTCCGCAATGCGACAATGGGGCTCTTCACTGAACCACAACGGCCTCTCCGTGTTCCTGGCGACAGTTCCTGGCGGCACTATCTTGCATCATGGAACTTCTCAGCGGGAACCACCAACCGTTCCAGAATGGCTGGCCTTTGACATCGAGCACGCAGAGCAATTTGCGCGTGCGCGTATGGGTCCTCCGCCAAAAACCCCACCACCTGAAGATGCAGATCCTCTGATGCAGCAACTGTGGTATCGCGCCCAACGTCGACCTCCCGCGCCAGAACACCACCAGGACACCAAGGGCCATGGGTACTTGCATCTCTATAAAGTGACAAGGCCGCTGCGTCTCCTCTACCTCGATGGCATGAGCGCCGGAAACACCAACATGGGTACTCTCGACACTCAGGATTTTCTTCTCAGGGGCAACCGCTCGTCGTCGATTTGGGGAGAGTTGGAGCGCGCAAAAGCGCTATGCGAAATTCTTGTTCCTCTGGGCCTTGATGGAGCCATCCGCATGGAGTTTGGCTTCGAAATCATCAAGTGCGACTTTTCAGACAGCATGGAATTTCTCAAAGCGTACCAGCGGCCGGTCGATGGCGATTCTGGTCTGGACGGTCGTTCCAACGCAATGTTGATTGAAACTATCCGGGCCATCTCTCAGCGGTATCACGGTATTGGTGGAGGCAGGGTCGTTGTCGACTTCTCATCCATGGTTTCTGCCATGTTCTACCCCGTCAACCTCACCAACCCCGATCCCGCGAGGTCCCAGCGCCATCTACGTCGGTTGGCCAGTGTCACTGACGAGGAACTACGCGTTATCAAATCACGCATCGAAAACGTTGTGCTCGACCGGGTGGGCGGGACTAAGCCAAGCATCGATTGGCAGGGAGTGGCCGACATGATTATCGCTCGCTACGCAGACAGATTGTGGAACATGGCGGAAAAAGTAGACTCCCTAGAGGTGCTCCAAGGCATCGTAAACGGACTTGTCAACACCCATATCGACTATGCCCTGGAGGGTGGCAGATACACCCAAGCCAGAGACAACTGTGCAGCGCATTACATTCAGTTTCACGAAGCTTTGACAGACGAAGACCAGTTGATTACTGCCGCCCTCAAATTTGTCACAGGGTCCATTTGTGAGACGCTGCTTCAAGTGCGCAAACTCATCGTGAATGATCCGGACGCGGGCGAGGAGGCATTTGCCTCGGCTAAGGATCTTCTCAAGTCATTAAACGACAAGCTCAGATGGTCGAGATGGAAAGAATGCACCTCGTGCAGTTTTGACGAGGTGTGCTTCCTCCCTATGTGGCCCATCGGGGATAAGGACTCGTACGACCGGCCAAACTGCAGAAACATCACGACTGTGAGAAAGGGGTGGGACAACCAGTACTGGGAGCCGAGGTGGGGTCAGCATGGCCCTGCAAAGCCTGAGGACCCAAAGGTTGACGAGGGTCCAAAAGATTTGTAGGAGCAAGTCTTCTCTTGTTGAATTAAACAAGAGGGATTGGTGATGGAAGTGGATTCGATTTTTTACATAACATGGCGAGCAACCCCAACTCCCTATCCAAGGCCTATGTTATCTAGGAGCAGATAAAAAGAATATCTGAAAAAATATTGCGTCAGCCGCGAATCGAACGCGGGGCCCATCGATGGCAACGATGGATTTTACCACTAAACCACTGACGCTGTCGAACGAGGTCGCAGTGCTTTTTGGATGTGAACACGCTCGTTCGTCATGCATTTGTATGAAACATATTATTATCAACACGTCTCGAACACAGTCGGATGTTCTACTTGTGAGGGAGGAACGATGCGCGATAAGTGGTATATATTTATGTGCGTACGCATGTATCTCGCTCCATGTAATTTGCTTGGCTTTCAAATGATTTGGTTGTTTATTTTCTCTGCCGTTAGATAGATAGAAGATGCGCTGTGATATTAGGGGGTCGATATGGATCAACTGGATGGAAAATAGAAAACCACGCGAGATAAGATGTGAGATTGGGTTTTTTTTGGTTTATATATATATATATATGTTCTGGTTTTGTTTTTCTGACATGATTTGAAGAAGCTTGGTTAGAAATTTGAGGACGAAACTGTTAGATTGTGATCAAAGCAAAAACTGATATCAAAAAGAATTGGTGGCGTTCAAATGTTTTATTTATCCCACCACCCTCGCACTGTCGCTCCCCCTGTCGCTCCCTTCTCAACATCCCATTGCCCCATTATCATC